ACACCCTCTATCCGCTAAAGTTGGCACTAACTTCGCCGACAAGAGGCGGTCGCTCGGTCGGTATAGTTCGCTTGCCGACTACAGGCCACAGCCATGAAAACGTCTGTCTCAGGCCTGCACAAATTCTTGGAACCAGATAGAAGAATTTTCATAATTGCGATTAGAAAGTTTCTTTTGTTTTTTCCTCCATAACTTTTCTATCTTTATCGCCTTTCTTTTCCTTTATTTTTTCTGATCCCCTTTATTTGTCAGTCCTACTATAATTTATCTTCCCCTATTTTCCCCCTCTCCTTTACGTTTATCTCGTCCCCTTCTTTCCCCTATATTAATTTATTTATCCTTTTTATCTGTGCATCCTGTTTTATCCGTCCCTCCGTATTTTACTTACGGCAGGAAATGAATTGTGGGCTTCTCCATATTCCGGGAAGAACAGAGGATAGTTTACCCTAGCAACGACGCGTTGGTTTTCCCTCAAGAGTGACAGGATCTGGCTACTGTTAATATGATCCAGTCAGATAAAATTAATTAAGCACCACGTGTGCTCCACGCGGAGCAATTGAGGTATATCTCCATCATTCGGTATATTTTTTTTCTTGGCACTACAGCCCCAGTGGGCCCAGGCCTACGTGCATGAACTTCTCCGTTCACTTCGGTTTTTCTAGATCTTACACATTCAGTAGGACTCCTTGGGCGGGTGATCAGCTCGTCGCAAGGCCTCTACCTGTACACAAACACAGAAAAACGCATACACACAAACTAAACATCCATGCCCTGAATGGGATTCGAACCCACGATCCCGGCTTCCGAACGAGCGAAGACAGTACATGCCTTAGACCCCTCGGCTACCGTGACCGGCGATTCAGTGTATACAGGCAGAGATTTCAACTGTGCTTTTGGTAACAAACACAAGCAAATTACTAACCCGTGTTATTTTCTTTTATTCTCGCTCCTAATTTTGTGCGGGGCGCCTAGATGCATAGGAAATTTGTGCAGCCCGGGTCTATCGATGTAATTACATAATTTTTAAGTTATGCTTTCTGTAATATTTTTTTACGAGGACTTACAGCGATCTCATCTTTATTATAGCTTAGGGCCTGGGGCAATGTTAATCAGGCACTGATTTCCGCCCGCACTTTACAGTAGCATATAACGTACGTAACAATGCATAGAACGGCAAGGAGCTACAACCGAGACGAATTATAACATGACATAACAATTGCTGTGACGTATGTGACTAGCGACAAACAGGGTTCGGATAAAGAATTCAGATTGACTTCAACTTCCTTTTGTATAAGTATAATATTTCTTGCGGTTGCTATAGTTTCTGTGGCTTTCTTTGTCGGAACGACTGCGCAAGCGCCGAGAATGACAGATGACAATCACAGTCGTGTTTTGGCCTGTTACGCTTTGCTCTGTACGGCTTCTGTACGCATGCTATCAAGATTGTGAAGAACTAAAAATTAGAATAGAGACAGACTGTTTTAGATATTCATAAAGAACAGCTCGTCTTGACATTTCACATCCATGGGCGATATCAGGATTTTTTTTTCCCGAAATAAGGCAGCCAGGAAAAATGTGTTTATCTTCGGTTTAAATTACTGCTACTGTTCACCGTATAGTTTACAGGGTACATTATTTTTAATTAATTATTTTTTGATATCGTGGCATGTAGACCCGTTTCTAGGCAACGACAGGGAAACAATTAGGCAGTGGCTGTCACTAGACAACGGCTCATAAAGTGTTTCTGTTAGGTATGTGCAGCCAAGTTACACGCAGGACAAGTCTAGATTCAGTCAGTTAGTCAATCGAGAGTTGCTGTAGCTGAGGCACGGGACAATTCGAGAACCCAAAAGAAGGGGAAGGTCAGCCGTTGGTAGCCGTTACCAGAAAACTGGTGAAGACACAGCAGGCTGAGAAGACTTAAGTATGTGAATTAGTGAAACGGTTATAAATACTTGCAGTCACGGATCTGTAACAGTTCAGTAAATCCGATTAGCAATTCAAAACCCCGTCTATAGTCATTCTATCATGTGACAGTATTTAACTTTCTTTTGTTTTCAAATTTCTTTTCGTTTTAAAACGTATAGAGGCGTGTGAGTGCTTTCTAACCCTCCCCAACCGGCACCCATGTTACCATAGCTTCTTTCTCGGTTCACGCAACATGTTATCAAGTAATATAGGTAACACAACATTGCTGGATTGATGAACTGGGAAGGCTGTAAAAGGAAGCGGCTCTTGCGTACACCAAGGAACTATTCCATTGTTCTACTGGGAAGGCTGTAAAAGGAAGCGGTTCTTGCGTATTCCAAGGAACTATTCCATTGTTCTACTGGGAAGGCTGTAAAAGGACGCGGCTCTTGCCTACTCAAAGGAACTATTCCATTGTTCTACTGGGAAGGCTGTAAACGGTCGCGGCTCTTGCCTACTCAAAGGAACTATTCCATTGTTCTACTGGGAAGGCTAATACGGAGTATGGGAACTATCGTTCAAAATATTCGGGTCGAAATGAACCCAGGGAGTCCTGATATAACCAGTACCATGAAGTTTGATGATCAGTTTTAATATTTCCCTCTCATTCGAGTCTGCTGTTGCAGCCGTAAACTGTTACTCTAAGATTTCTTCACTGCATGCTATAGGGAGTCGGGCCTGTTCCGACCTCACGCACTCTCTCAGAATTTCCAAGGTCTACCTCACTCTCGACATCATTTTGCTTTATACTGTAGGATCTCTTTCGGCATTGCTTCACCAGTCATTCATACAAATTAGTTTATTCATTTCTGTGTCCATATATTTTACGTAGTATGTACTATTTTAAGTTACTTCCTAATTTATTAATAAATAAGGCCAGTCATGGTAGCCGAGCGGTCTAAGGCATGTACTGTCTTCGCTCGCTTGGAAACCGGGATCGTGGGTTCGGATCCCACTCAGGGCATGGATTTTTAGTTTGTGTGTGTGTGTGTGTGCGTTTTTCTGTGTTTGTGTACAGGTACAGGCCTTGCGACGAGCTGATCACCCGCCCAAGGAGTCCTACCGAATGTCTAAGATCTAGTAAACCGAAGTGAAACGGAGAGTTTCGTGGAGGTAGGCCTAGGCCCAAATGAGGGCTGTAGCGCCAAGGGAAAAAAATCATAAATAATGTTATTTACTCTCGTGCAACCTTCATTTTTGTAAGCATCTCATCTCTTCGTATTGTGATCTGCTCGTATTTATGCTTTAATTATCGAAGATTCCTTCCGTACAGCAAGTTGGCAGAACTGCTGCTGGAAAAATGCTTTAATTTAAACTTCGACATTCTTTCCGGTTTAATCATCCGTAGTCATCCTTTCATTTGAATGCACCGGTAAAGTAATCAATAAAAACACGTTTACAAGAATGTTATATTACGGAAATTCAGTATGTATGTCATGTCACCAGGGGTGACTTTGTTACCACCGTCTTTCTGTTCAACACCACGCTAACTACGCAGCTGACGAAGTGCCAACCAAGAAACAAACACGGATCGATACAATACGTTGATCAATAAAGAATTCCTAACACCAACCTGTAATTGTCGGTCCATGGCGTCGGGACGTCCACAGCCTTGGCAACAGACTGAGCTGCGTGATGACGCGTCCAGGCTGATGCCTGGTGGTGAGACGCACAGTGCTGGCCGGGCATGACGCCGGGCGGCGCTGGGGGCGGCGGGGGGTGGTGGTGCGGGTAGCCAGGGAACTGATTGGAGGAGGTCGTGGTGGCGGTAGGGCCCGCTCCTGACACCGGGTCGCTTGTTGCACTGGACGACACTGGGTGGTGATAGCCCGCCGCGGAATTGTAGGTGCTGAGGGCCCCCGCCGCTGCGTAACCGGCAACTGCTGCGGCGGCGCTCTGTTGTGCCCAGGAGGTCGTGTGGCCTACAGGAGAAACAAACTTGTGGGTCAGACATTAACAACATATTCAGCTGGTCAGTACACTGAGGGTTTATTAGTCACAACAGCTGAAATCAGAATAATGGAGCCAGAAGGGACGGCACCTGCTAGGGAACGGCGGGTAAACACGTTGTTTTGGAATCCGGGTTTGACACTAGTCTGTCATACTGCATTTGAAACTGTACACGGGGCTGTCAACTTCAAACCACCGAAGACTGCGTGTGTCTTGTGTACCCGTCCGAGGACCGCATTAAGAGAAATGTGTTTCCAGTATATCGGTACATACGGTACGTACGCAAGAACAATATGAGTCAGCCCATGCCCCCGAAAAGTCGGTGAATTTTTTTTTACGAATGACAGGTTGAAAAAAATAACAACCAAATAACAAGGTAATATGTAATTTACAGAGAGAAACTTATAACTCCGTGACCTGTAGTCCGCAAGCGAACTATACCGACCGAGGGACCGCCGATTGTCGGCGAAGTTAGTGCCAACTTTAGCGGATAGAGGGTGTCGCGTGTTCAGCGCAACGGATTCCCACGGCCGTTAATCTCGGTTTTTTAGACCGCAGACAATGTTTTTCAAAATAGCTCCTCAATTATCCTGACGAGGCTGAGTGAAAATTATAAACTAATTGAAATAAGAAGCTGGCCAAATGTAACGTAAAATGTTTCACTTTGCTTAATTAAGGACAATACAAAGACGTATGGGGGTCTTTGCCCATAGCGCCACTCATTCTTACCCAAGGCACTACATGGAGGCAAATGACCAGCTTCTCTTTACCCCGGGAAAACGAACAAGATTATGAGATATTATATAAAAAGAATTTTAAACACAAGTAAAACAGACGAAAGTTTATAAACATGAAACAACAAACTAACTTCATGGAGCTGAGCCCCTGTTTAGAAGCCGCCAGTTGTGTAGCTACTCAAGAACTTCACATTACACTACATCACATCTCACTATCCCAGGTCGGTCGGTCGGTCGGTCGGTCGGTCGGTCGGTCGGTCGTTCGGTCGGTCAAATCGCTGCTGGTTTCGCCAACAAGATTACTCCTTGCTTCAGTCTCGTCCAGATCCATGGCCAAGATATTTATTGGGACGCGCCATAGCTCAAGCGGTTAGTCGCTGGCTTCCAACCGGGGTGGCCCGGGTTCGATCAGTCAGTAAAAGCAGACTGTGTTGTTCCAACACTGTATTGGAACCGGTTCTCACGGTCTCTTCGCTTGCAGATTTCTTATATTTTTTTCTTCTACCCTGAAGATGGAGGCGATACGTCCCTCCGAAACGTCGGTTAACACCACATATACACGGTGCCAAATCCCAGAAAACTGCTTTCTTCATAGTCACCGCCGTGAAAGCCTCAAATCTTACAAATCTGTGTTTATTCAGAGCCCAGTGCTATTTGTGTGTTAGATGTCATATTTACTTATTGAAGTACGTAGTGAATATATAAGATGCCAAAGTTTTTTGATATATAGGCCTAATATTTAATTTAAGAATAAAATATTTATCCTCTGTAATGAAGATGGATTGGGCTTCTCATCTGGAAGTTGGGTACAAAGTTAGTTAACAAAGATGGTTGTTTATTTAGCTAATTAATTAGTTAATTGGCTCAGACTTAGGTAAATAGTAACTTCATTTACCTATGCAGTGACAGTAAAGCGATGTGCTTTATTTACTTAATTAGATGATATAATTAGTAATCATTAAGGTAAATGTTTAGTTTAAAAAAGTAAGTAGTTGGTTATCTCCTTATATGGCTGGTTACATAGTGATTCTGTTGTCAACCAAATATATTAATCAGGCTGCTGGTTAAGAATTCTATAGTTCATTAGTTGTTATTTACTTGATCCCTTACATATCTCTCTAGAATGGCAGCGAACCCTCTATATAACTAGACAGGGGAGAGCAGGAATGACTCAGTATGTACAATACGTAAGCTATAAAATGGAAAAAAGTCGTCTTCTGGGTTTAGGCGCCGTGTAATCTTCGTTTTGGCCGACGTTTCGGAGGAACGTATCGCCTCCATCTTCAGAGCAGTTGAATGGATTGGAATGCAGAGAGCAGTAGCTGTAGTGATAGGAAGTGCAGTAGCTGTACAGTACTCTGAAGATGGAGGCGATACGTTCCTCCGAAACGTCGGCCAAAATGAAGATTACACGGCGCCTAAACCCAGAAGACGACTTTCTTCATAGTCATCGCCGTGAAAACCTCAAAACTTATATAAAATGGAAGTCCGTCGAAATAAATGTTTTCTTCAGGCTCGAATATCAAATGTTTTGCGTTTTATATCCATTTGTGACTTAGTTACTGACTCTCCCTAGAATGTGTTCTGTTTATTTAAAAATAATTGGTACTTCAATAAATGATACTTAATGTGTAGACTCTAGCCATTGCGTTAAAGTAACTGTTAATCTTGTGGCCTACATATTAATGTTGCTCTATTCTATGAATTTTTATTTATCTTTACAGGTTCACACGAATTCATCATCATTCGGTGAGTGAATTTATTTTTAATTTTTACCGTTTTGTTCTTTATTCTCTGTGGTTTGAAAAGAGCATGTTAGTCGGATCTCTTGTCACCACGGCATGGCGCGTCCTCAGGTTGCGAATGGATTAGATGCCCTCCAGGTGTGGAGGGAAGCTGCGAATATATTAAATAAGCAGTCGCGGACCGCCGACAAGGCGTGGTTCTCAAACTGGGGGGTTGGGCGTGGGGCTTACAAATCATCACCGTAAAAATAATCCTGCAACGAAAATTCTCAAGAAGCCTCGGACCTGAACAGATTCCTTGCATAAAAGACCTAAGCTAAAGAAAATGGATATGAGACTTGGTACTTGAAATGTTCAAGTATTTATAGGGCAGG